AAGAAACTGACCCACTGCTGCAAGGTATTTCCTTTCTCCCCTTTGTGCCTGTCTCCAAGATTCCCTTATGTGTTCATATGTTTAACCCTTTTGTTTCTGATGAGGAAATTATGGCTTTTCTCAGTAGATACTGTTCAACTGTTTCCAAGCCAATTAAGCTGGTTAATGCCTTTGGAGTTTACAATGGCAAAAGGAAATTTTTTGTTGTTTTGAAGCAGGATCCCTCTGAATTGAGTGGTTTAAAGCACCCACCACAGAACTTTTCTATTGGTGGGAACAGGGGATATCTTTTTTACCCTGGGCAGCCACTATATTGTCGCAATTGTTTTCAATTTGGGCACCTGAGCGATGCATGTGAAAAAGGTTTATGCTGCAGAAATTGTTTTGGGGAAGGCCACACTGCTGCTGAATGTGCTGAGAAGAGGAAATGTGACCTGTGTGAATCAGATAGGCATATGGCCAGATTCTGCCCTACCCTGCTGCAAAATTCACTCAGGGAAGACGCTGTTGGGGAGCCCAGTGTAGCAGAGCCTGCTAAACAGCCACCAGGTTCGCAGCCTGCTGAGAAGACAAGAATTCAGTTTATCCCGGCTTTTGGCACGCAGCGCAGGTCCAGGGAGGAGCATGAGGAGAGGCATGCTGCCATTATGGCTGCTGATGTGGCTAAGAAAAAGGCAAAAACTGACAATGAGGTAGCCGCAGTTGCCGTGGAAACCATGGAGTGTGTCCCAGCCTCTCAGTCTGAGGTAGCTGGAGCGGGCACTCCTGCATTGGTGGAATCTGGAGAAGAGGGAACCTTCAAAGTAGTGACTTCACATAAGAAGAAGAAGAAAAAAGGTTCAGCTGCACTGTCTGGGGAGTTCCCGAGAGATTTAGTGAGGCCCTCGTCTGAGGTGGCTGGCCTCTCTGGATCAGAGACATCTGGGTGTGGGTCGCCTGTCTTTGATATTGGAGCGGTGTCACGTTTCGTTGCAATTTCTGGGTTTCCCACAGACTCAGAGAGTCAGGCAATGTCAGAGGATGGGACTTGAACATTGATGGGGGGCTTGCCTTCTAAATTATGTTTTCAATATTTTCTTTAAATGTGAGGAGTGTTAAATCTGCCAGTAGGAGAGCTATGATTTTTGATTTTTTACGTGGTTTAACGTTTTCTCTAATTTGTTTGCAGGAATGTAACCTGGTGGAAAAGCCTCATATTGCTAAATGGGATCTTGGCCCTTCAGTTTATTCATGTGGAGTGGGTAAAAATATAGGGGTTGCAGTGTTGTTTAGAGGGTGGGAATTTAATATTCTAAAAGTTTTGGAAGTCGTGTCGGGGAGAGTTTTGGTGGTTTATTTTTCTTATAGGGGCACTGTTTTTAGGGTGGTTAATGTTTATGCGCCTGCTGATAAGAAGGAACGAGTGGATGTTCTTGAATGTTTGAGGATGGCTTTACCAGGGAGGGATTCCACTTTTTTGGTTGGGGACTTTAATTGTATTATAAGGAGGGAAGACAGGGTGGGTACAGGTGAAGGGTATAAACTTGATAGGTCGGGGCGCATGCTGAGCAATCTTGTCAGGGATTTTGGTTTGCAAGATACTTTGGGGGGAGCAGGAGGTGACGACATTTTTACCTTTTTTAGTGATAAAGGGTCTGTTAAATCCCGTATTGACTTTTGTTTTGTTTCGCAGGGAGTGATCACTGAAGATTTGCGCATGCGCAAAGTGCCCTTTTCTGATCACGTGATTTTGGAGTGCACAGTAAGAATGGATGAGAATAAGGAATTTGGGAAAGGATTCTGGAAGTTGAATGTGCGACTGTTGATGGAAGAGGAAGTGAGAAAGGACTATTGTAAGCTGTATGGTAAATGGAGAAAATGTAAATTGAATTTTGCGGACATTGTTGATTGGTGGGAATGGGTGAAATTAAAGACTAAAGAGTTTTTTGTTCAAAAAGGCTGTGACAAGGCCAGGAGGGAGAGAGCGCGTTTTGATGAGTGGAGAAGGAGAATTGATTATTTGCTTAATTTGCGTGAGCTGGGGTGGGATGTGGATGCGGAATTGGATGAAGCCAGGACAAGTAGGACTGAGTGTTTGGAGGAAATAGGGAGAAAGATTGTTTTTGCAGCAAAATTGAATGTGATAGAAAATGATGAGAAATGTACACGTTTTTTCTTTAAGAAAGCATATGAATGTAACAAAGGTATGGATGGAATTTTGAATGCTGAGGGGGTCTTTGTGAATGAGAAAACTGTGATGCTTCATACAATTAAGCAGTTCTATGGGAATTTGTATGATTATAAACAGAGAGATGTAAGTTTGGAAGATGAACTGCTTGAAGGGATTGATGATGGTATAAGGGATGAGGATGTATGTGGTTTGGTGAGGGAGGTATGTATGGATGAGTTGCATGCTACAATTTGTAATTTCCAATTAAATAAAACTCCGGGATGTGATGGTTTACCTATAGAATTCTACCGGATATGCTGGGATGTGATTGGGGAAGATTTTTTGGAGGTGTGCAAGATTATTCTGAATAGGGGTGAATTGAGTACATCAATGAAGAAGGGAGTGGTTGTTTTAATTGCTAAAAAAGGCAATCGCCAGGATTTGAAGAATTGGAGACCTATTACTCTGCTTAATGTGGATTATAAAATTATCGCTAAGTTGCTGGCAAACAGACTAAAAGATGTGATTGGGGATGTGGTGGGTGAAGAACAAGTATGTGCTGTGCCGGGGAGGCAGATAGCAGAAAGTTTGATTGGTTTGAGAGATGTTTTGTGGTACTGCTTGGAAAGAAAGCAGGCAGTGGCTGTGGCTAAGATTGATTTTGAAAAGGCGTATGACAGAGTGGCACATGATTTTATGTTCCGAGTCTTGGAGAAAATGGGACTTCCAAGTTTGTTGCTGAAATGGATTAGATGTATGTATAAGGATATTGAAAGTGTTGTACAGGTGAATGGATGGATGACTGAGGCCTTTAAGGTCAGTTCTGGGGTGCGGCAGGGGTGCCCTTTGTCCCCTGTCCTTTTCATTTGTGTGATTGAACCTTTGTTGAAAAGCATTAGGAACGACAAGTTAGTGAGGGGTGTTGAAATCCCTGGCAGTGGCACAAGGAGTTTAAAGGTGATTGGATACATGGATGACGTGACTGTGGTGTGCAAATCACAAGCTGGACTGCGCAGAGTGAAATTGCTGATTGATATTTTTTGCATGGCAAGTGGTTTTAGAGTGAATTGGGATAAATGTGCTGTTAAGGCATTTGGACGTTGGAGAGAATTGGATTTGTGTGGATGGCCGGTTGAGGATGGTGAGATTGAAGTTCTGGGGGTGATCTTTGATGATGAGCTTAAAGGAACAGTAAGCTGGAATAAAGTTGTGAGCAGGGTGAATCAGAAAATTGGTTTTTGGTGTGACAGAACTTTGTCCTTTGAGGGTAAGGTTTTAATAGTTAAAGCGATTTTGCTGCCAATCATCCTGTATTTACATTTGATCTTCCCTATAGGGAATAACAGTCTGAGGAAATTAGTTAGGATTCTATTCCTGTTTTTTTGGGGAAGCAGGATGGAGAGGTTAAGTAGGGAAAAGGTATTAAAACAACGAGTGAATGGGGGTATGGGTTTCCCAGATTTGGAAAAGTTTTTATTAATTCATTATGTGAGATTGTGTGTTAGACTAAGTAAAAAAGAAAGTACGATTGCTTGTATGTTAAAATATGCTGCAGGGATGGTATTACAGAAGCATGGGTTGCATGTCATAGATAGGACTAAACCTGCTTGCTTCACTGCACCTTGGTTCTATCAGAAAATTGCCGTGTGTGTACAGAAATATGATTTGGTAAATGTATCCAAGGATGATTGGTGTGAAAAGAGGAAAGTGTTTAAACTCTTAAGTGATAAAGAAGAGATGCTCAGGATTGACGGTTTGACAGAAGCACAAAGCAAAGTTGTGTGGAAAAGGCTGCATGGTAAAGACATTACTCATAGGCAAAGAGATATTGCATGGATGGCTATTCATAATGTTTTGCCTACAAGAGAATTCCAGCATGCAAGGGGTTTAGTAGGTTCGGACATGTGTCCAAGGGGAGGGTGTGGAGCTAGGGAGAATGTCGTTCACCTGCTGTGGAACTGTACCTATGTGAGGGAAGTAATGAAGCACCTGTTAAAATTAGTAGTAGGTTTGACAGGAATCCCAGTTTTCTCATTTGAAGTCCTATTATTTGGTTTATGTAACCTGGATAAAGAAAAAGACAGAATTTTGTGGTTACTAATGGGGTGCATTAAAGAGACTCTGTGGGATGTGCGGAATTTATTGATCTTTAAAAAAGAAAATGTTTCTGCGGAGGGATGTGTTAGAATGGTTAAAGGGAAACTGTATTTGTATTATCTGTTAGATGCTAAAAGGAAGGGTGAATTGGATGCTGAAGGGGTGTGGAAAACAAATAAATGGAAGAAATGGTGTGCATAGGTAATTCCATGGGGAACTTCTTAGTAGGGTGCTCTGAATAATTTTTCAGGGGCATTTGATGTGGATTAAGAATTTGTTTTTTGGTATCATGATGTTTGTTTAAAACCTGTTATGTATTATTAAATTGCGATACTAAGACCATGATGATGTTTGAATATGAGACTTCTTGACATATTTCTGATGGAAGTACTCTGTGACTGAATGGTTTTAAAATCTGTTCTTATCAGTTTAATATCTGATACGTCCCCTATCTGGGGACCATATATTAAATGGATTTTTGGGACAGGAGATGGAAGAAGAGCTTGCTCTGTCCACTCCACGCATTGACCTGGTATTGCAGTACCTCCAGGACCGGTGCACCTCTCTTATGCTGGTTACAAAAATAGAATTGAAAAAGAAAAAGCAAGCCTCTGGACTCTCACTTGGTGGGTGGCAAAGAAATGCAGGAAACCTGCAAACGAAGGCAAACGCGTTCTCCTTTCCTGCTTTCTTTCTCTGCCGTAAGTGCGATCTCTGCCTCCCCCTGTCTGCGGCATGCCTGAATGAAGCCCGGACCGACCGACCGACCGACCAAAAGCGACCAAAAGCATTCCTTGCAATTATGGACACTTGTAGCAATGTTTGGTAACTGTTATTTCATTTGGATAGCTTGTCCGATTTGTTATTATCTATCATGTGCTGTGTGTGCAACATTCAAGTCTGTTCACCTGATGCAATGTATTCATTGTTGTCCTGTAAATCTGTGTAATCACTTCATTGAATAAATAAATGTGCCAAGTATATCCATTGGGAAGCCAGAGTATTTCTATGCTGGCTGGCTGGCTGGCTGGCTGGCTGGCTGGCTGGCTGGCTGGCTGCATTATCAGTGATGAAAAGTGGGCGGTATTATGCAAATCTGCTGCAGCCTGCAGCATGCTGGTCTTTGAAATTACAGCACTAATGTTTTGGAGGGAAATCGGAGCAGCATTCAAGTAACCAATTAAGGGTTTAATTAATTGAATCATTGAGTGAGTGAGCAAACCAGCAGGTGCTTAATTGCTTGCTCTATCTACCCTACTTGCAGCTGAAGAGGAACAGACCAGGTGATCCAGCAGCCTCGTTAGGCTCATCAGTGGTAGCAGCTGGAGAGGGGGAGGTGCAAGGTATGTCTGGAGGGGAGCATATAGAGGAATGGACAAGGTTAAGAAGGGGAGCTGTGTTTCCAGGGCTCAGAGGTTGTGTGCTCTGTGACTGACTGTGTCTCTGTTGCTATTTGTAGCCAGCTTACACCTAGATGAGGAAGAGGTGGGTGGCACTGTGCCAAAGGCTCACCGCAAGCTGAAGAAGCCCAGGCGAATGGCAGGTGAGTAGCTGGGCGCCCATTCCGGTTATCGCTTCTCGGCCTTTTGGCTAAGATCAAGTGTAGTATCTGTTCTTATCAGTTTAATATCTGATACGTCCCCTATCTGGGGACCATATATTAAATGGATTTTTGGGACAGGGAGATGGGAGAAGAGCTTGCTCTGTCCACTCCACGCATTGACCTGGTATTGCAGTACCTCCAGGACCGGTGCACCTCTCTTATGCTGGTTACAAAAATAGAATTGATAAAGCAAGCCTCTGGACTCACACTTGGTGGGTGGCAAAGAAATGCAGGAAACCTGCAAACGAAGGCAAACGCGTTCTCCTTTCCTGCTTTCTTTCTCTGCCGTAAGTGCGATCTCTGCCTCCCCCTGTCTGCGGCATGCCTGAATGAAGCCCGGACCGACCGACCGAGCGACCAAAAGCATTCCCTGCAATTATGGACACTTGTAGCAATGTTTGGTAACTGTTATTTCATTTGGATAGCTTGTCCGATTTGTTATTATCTATCATGTGCTGTGTGTGCAACATTCAAGTCTGTTCACCTGATGCAATTTATTCATTGTTGTCCTGTAAATCTGTGTAATCACTTCATTGAATAAATAAATGTGCCAAGTATATCCATTGGGAAGCCAGAGTATTTCTATGCTGGCTGGTAGGGCTGGCAACTGGCTGGCAGCTGGCTGGCTGGCTGGCTGGCTGGCTGGCTGCATTATCAGTGTTGAAAAGGGTAAAAGGCATTTATTAATACCGTCTGCTGCAGCCTGCAGCATGCTGGTCTTTGAAATTACAGCACTAATGTTTTGGAGGGAAATCGGAGCAGCATCCAAGTAACCAATTAAGGGGTTAATTAATTGAATCATTGAGTGAGTGAGCAAACCAGCAGGTGCTTAATTGCTTGCTCTATCTACCCTACTTGCAGCTGAAGAGGAACAGACCAGGTGATCCAGCAGCCTCGTTAGGCTCATCGGTGGTAGCAGCTGGAGAGGGAGAGGTGCAAGGTATGTCTGGAGGGGAGCATATAGAGGAATGGACAAGGTTAAGAAGGGGAGCTGTGTTTCCAGGGCTCAGAAGTTGTGTGCTCTGTGACTGACTGTGTCTCTGTTGCTATTTGTAGCCAGCTTACACCTAGATATGAGGAAGAGAGGTGGGTGGCACTGTGCCCAAGGCTCACATAAGCTAGAAGAAGCCCAGGCGAATGTGCTTGGGTGGTGCTGGCGCCCATTCAGTTATAAGCTTCACCGACCTTTTGGCTAAGATCAAGTGTAGTATCTCTGTTCTTATCAGTTGTATCTCTGATAAGGTCCCCTATCTGGGGACCATATAGTAAATGGATTTTTGGGACAGAGGAGATGGAAGAAGAGCTTGCTCTGTCCACTCCACGCATTGACCTGGTATTGCAGTACCTCCAGGACCGGTGCACCTCTCTTATACTGGTTACAAAAATAGAATTGAAAAAGAAAAAGCAAGCCTCTGGACTCTCACTTGGTGGGTGGCAAAGAAATGCAGGAAACCTGCAAACGAAGGCAAACGCGTTCTCCTTTCCTGCTTTCTTTCTCTGCCGTAAGTGCGATCTCTGCCTCCCCCTGTCTGCGGCATGCCTGAATGAAGCGCGGACCGACCGACCGAGCGACCAAAAGCATTCCTTGCAATTATGGACACTTGTAGCAATGTTTGGTAACTGTTATTTCATTTGGATAGCTTGTCCGATTTGTTATTATCTATCATGTGCTGTGTGTGCAACATTCAAGTCTGTTCACCTGACGCAATGTATTCATTGTTGTCCTGTAAATCTGTGTAATCACTTCATTGAATAAATAAATGTGCCAAGTATATCCATTGGGAAGCCAGAGTATTTCTATGCTGGCTGGCTGGCTGGCTGGCTAGCTGGCTGGCTGGCTGGCTGGCTGCATTATCAGTGTTGAAAAGTGGGCGGTATTATGCAAATGTCTGTGCAGCCTGCAGCATGCTGGATGTACGAAATTACAGCACTAATGTTTTGGAGGGAAATGAGACAGCATCCAGTAACCAATTAGGGTTTAATTAATTGAATCATTGAGTGAGTGAGCAAACCAGGTGCTTAATTGCTTGCTCTATCTACCCTACTTACCCAGCTGAAGAGGAACGAACCAAGGTGATCCAAGCAGCCTCGTTAGGCTCATCAGTGGTAGCAGCTGGAGAGAGGGAGAGGTGCAAGGTATGTCTGGAGGGAGCATATAGAGGAATGGACAAGGTTAAGAAGGGGAGCTGTGTTTCCAGGGCTCAGAGGTTGTGTGCTCTGTGACTGACTGTGTCTCTGTTGCTATTTGTAGCCAACACACCTAGATGAGGGAAGAGGTGGGTGGCACTGTGCCCAAAGGCTCACACCAAACTGAAGAAGCCATGGCCCAGGAATGGCAGGTGAGTGGCTGGGAAGCCCATTCCGGGATTATAAACTTCTCGACCTTTTTTGGCTAAGATCAAGTGTATCTGTTCTTATCAGTTTTAATATCTGTCACGTCCCCTATCTAGGGGACCATATAGTAAATAGTTTTTGGGACAGGGAGATGGAAGAAGAGCATGTCACTCCCACACGATGACCTGAGCATTGCAGTACCTCAGGACCGGTGCACCTCTCTTATGCTGGTTACAAAAATAGAATTGAAAAGAGAAAAAGCAAGCCTCTGGACTCTCACTTGGTGGGTGGCAAAGAAATGCAGGAAACCTGCAAACGAAGGCAAACGCGTTCTCCTTTCCTGCTTTCTTTCTCTGCCGTAAGTGCGATCTCTGCCTCCCCCTGTCTGCGGCATGCCTGAATGAAGCCAGGACCGACCGACCGAGCGACCAAAAGCATTCCTTGCAATTATGGACACTTGTAGCAATGTTTGGTAACTGTTATTTCATTTGGATAGCTTGTCGGATTTGTTATTATCTATCATGTGCTGTGTGTGCAACATTCAAGTCTGTTCACCTGATGCAATGTATTCATTGTTGTCCTGTAAATCTGTGTAATCACTTCATTGAATAAATAAATGTACCAAGTATATCCATTGGGAAGCCAGAGTATTTCTATGCTGGCTGGCTGGCTGGCTGGCTGGCTGGCTGGCTGGCTGGCTGGCTGCATTATCAGTGTTGAAAAGTGGGCGGTATTATGCAAATCTGCTGCAGCCTGCAGCATGCTGGTCTTTGAAATTACAGCACTAATGTTTTGGAGGGAAATCGGAGCAGCATCCAAGTAACCAATTAAGGTTTTAATTAATTGAATCATTGAGTGAGTGAGCAAACCAGCAGGTGCTTAATTGCTTGCTCTATCTACCCTACTTGCAGCTGAAGAGGAACAGACCAGGTGATCCAGCAACCTCGTTAGGCTCATCAGTGGTAGCAGCTGGAGAGGGAGAGGTGCAAGGTATGTCTGGAGGGGAGCATATAGAGGAATGGACAAGGTTAAGAAGGGGAGCTGTGTTTCCAGGCCTCAGAGGTTGTGTGCTCTGTGACTGACTGTGTCTCTGTTGCTATTTGTAGCCAGCTTACACCTAGATGAGGAAGAGGTGGGTGGCACTGTGCCCAAGGCTCACCGCCAGCTGAAGAAGCCCAGGCGAATGGCAGGTGAGTAGCTGGGCGCCCATTCCGGTTATCGCTTCTCGGCCTTTTGGCTAAGATCAAGTGTAGTATCTGTTCTTATCGGTTTAATATCTGATACGTCCCCTATCTGGGGACCATATATTAAATGGATTTTTGGGACAGGGAGATGGAAGAAGAGCTTGCTCTGTCCACTCCACGCATTGACCTGGTATTTCAGTACCTCCAGGACCGGTGCACCTCTCTTATGCTGGTTACAAAAATAGAATTGAAAAAGAAAAAGCAAGCCTCTGGACTCTCACTTGGTGGGTGGCAAAGAAATGCAGGAAACCTGCAAACGAAGGCAAACGCGTTCTCCTTTCCTGCTTTCTTTCTCTGCCGTGAGTGCGATCTCTGCCTCCCCCTGTCTGCGGCATGCCTGAATGAAGCCCGGACCGACCGACCGAGCGACCAAAAGCATTCCTTGCAATTATGGACACTTGTGGCAATGTTTGGTAACTGTTATTTCATTTGGATAGCTTGTCCGATTTGTTATTATCTATCATGTGCTGTGTGTGCAACATTCAAGTCTGTTCACCT